ACTATTTTTTTTTCCAGACATCTCCTGCTGTGTTCCTTAGTCTGTTTGATGCTTTTAAAAGTCTATTTTCACTCTTTTTTATTCCAGGGTTTCAATTTAGAAGGATTTGAATGCAAAGGACAATGAATATAAACAAGTAAAAATTTCTTGATATAAGTGTAAAGTGTTTTCATTTTATTTGAGCAGGTAAGGAAGACAATTTTCCAGAGGGATAAGATGATTTACATTTTTAAAAATGTCAAAATCTTTTTTCAAGTCCATCTATTTATCTTATTTTAACAGGAAAAAACATATAATTGGCTGATCATCTTATTTACCTGCTCATATTAAGGACGAATATGATTATTTGAAGATATTTTTACTTGTTTTTAATATATTTTTTGGAGTGTAGAAATAAAAAAAGAAGCATTTAAGAACCTTCCCTGTATGTAAACTAGTGTTGCACCAACTCTGATACCAGTATCGGGTGGGCCGTGATCCAGCACTATCAGCGAGTATCGACAAATAGAGCACTGATACCATTTTGAGAGCCAAAAGTTTATTGAACTATTGTCACCCATTTCAGGTAGGCAATAAAAAGTTCTACTGGATTCACTTTGTATTAATCTTCTTCCTGCTTCACAAAGGTAGGCAGCAGCTTAATAAAGCCGTGATGGCAATTATTTTACATCCAAGTAGTCTGCAGTTCTTCATATATACACTCACACATCAATTTCAAACAGATGGTTTCGGTATCGGCCAATACTGCAAAGCCAGGTATCGGTTATCTAACCTGACTCCGCCAGATGGATTTGCTCTGTATATCCATCTGGAAACCTTCCGTAGAAGTAATTTTGGAAAGGGATGAAAATACTGGTTAGCTGATTGGCCTATGTTGGTGATAGACGGGCCAAATAAACCAATCAGATCAACGAAGCATATGACGTACTAACAGAGCGACGACGAAGAGGAGCCAATTGATAGATCAAACTCTTGCCGAAACCAGTCGGGAGAAGAGCAAAAACATCTTTTCCTCTGAGAAAAGCCTCCAGAGCAGTGTTTTGCTCTTCTTTCACTGAAGAAATACTCCGATAAAACTTGCTCGATAGCCACGCTAACGCTAGTTTCATCGGCTGAAGCCGCCATGTTCTTTAGACTGAACTGTCGCGCTTCTCGTTGCGTCACACCTCAACCCGCCTCAAAGCCAACGCTGATTGGACGTTCGTTTGGTGAACGGCTCCAAATTTTCTTTAACGGAGAGTCTCCAGACTGATCTGCGAGTGAAACCTTGAAAGCTCGCGAGATCAGGATGGTCTCACCAGGCTATCGGTTATCGGTATCGGGGCCAAAAAAATGGCATTTGGTGCAACACTGATGTAAATCAGCTGAAGGTGTATTAATAATTAACATCTGGTCAGGTAGGGTCGGCAGCATCCAGAATCACTGGCAGATCTTATTACAGATTAATTTTTTCTCACCTATCCTCTGCTCTAATAACTTTAAAGTCTTCATACTGGGGTAAAATGGCTCCTCCTTAATTAAGACATGGAGACAAACTGGCTTTGCTTCATGCAACATATGGGGAAGCGCATGCAGGCTGGTTTTCTCCTCATAATCTGTTTCTTCCCTCTTAGTTTTTCTTCTTTCCGCTGTCCTGTTTCGTGCTCCATGACAGCGGATTAATCCGTGCGTTCGCTGTTAGATCTCATCTGAGTCCTGCAGATGCAAGAAGGATTTTCTCTCTCATGTCACGCTTTAGAAATGACAGTAGATCGTGTTGAAGAGATATTTTTATTGCTGTCTCTTCAGACACGCAGCAGCTTCCTCTCTGCTCCAGATTCTGTCTGTATTTACCGTTGGCCTTGTTAAGCAGGGGGAGCCGGCCGCCCACTCAGACTGTCTGTCAGGATCCGAACGTGTTGGGCAGAAAATCCATGCAGATGCTTTTGTGCAAATGTGTATGTGCTTTACGGAGCGTCTGAAAGGCTTAGCTCTGCAAAAGTCTTTCATTTGATCATCAGGTCCCTGCAGCGTGGACATGTTGATGAGGGCTGATCTTAAAGCTGCCGCCGCCTAAGAGGAGCGGCCTTCTGACACGTCTTCTCTTCGGTTTGTTTTTGTTTGCTTTTGCTGAAGAACGCTGTAGATGTTTGATTAATAGATGGTGTGTTTGGACGGTTCAAGGAGCTCCTTCATTTTGCTCCTCGTTTGATAAAGTCATGGATGATGGATCACGGTGGAGAACAAGAACTTACAAAGACAGAGTCATCCTCTCTGTGCAAACATCCTTATGTGCTGTTGCATGCTGGGAGGTGCCGCTGCACCAAAGCTTCATCCACACATTTTCGGCATTGTTATCGTTTTCATTTATGGCTTTGAACTCTTTATTTGAACTCTTATTTCCCCCAAAAAGGAACTAATGTAGAAAAATAGAAATATAAAAGTTTCAAAAGGGAACTATGTGAACATAGTGAACTTATTGTGGATCTTTTTCCACATTCATTTCTATTTCTAATTGCTATTTATAATTGCAGGTTTCTGGCCGATCGCTACCAGTATTTAAAAATCCTAATTTTTGAAATGATCCATTATCCATACAATTATTATTGTAAGATCACAAGCTACCTTTTATATTTCAGTCTCATTAAAACATGAAACAATCACTGCAACAATAAAAAATGTTTAACTGCACATTAGGCATTCCTATCAAATATAAATGCAATCTTTAGATTGTTGACTGTGGCTGATGTTCAGACCTTTGCAGAGGTAGATAAGATCCATTTCACTGATTAATAATCTTCCAGACTGATGGAAATCAATGCTGTTGACCGATTCATTGGCCAGCTGATGTTTTTCACAGTTTTATTCTCCTTGTATCGACCGATACATGCACACATTTACCGATTCATTTGTGCATTAAGCAGCCGTGTCTTAAAATCAGGTGAAGTGCATCCATTTCCCCTAACCTCCATTTTCCATGGAGGGAGTGGAACTAACATTTCATTTGATGTTAATAAATGTTTCTTTTGTTATTAAACTGAGAATAAAAAATTAAATATTGTTGCCGCCCATATCTGGGATCAGTTAGATCAGGGATCCTGCAAATGCAACTTTCGCATTTGACTCAGTTGTGCTTTAACACAGCAGAGTCAAAGGGCTGAATTCCCCCCTCAATAATTAGTCCATTTCCTTTCTCCTAATCATCTAATACCATTATTCTGGTGTTTTGGACCGAGCATAAATCTAAACATTGCAGCATGTTGGAATTGGAACTGGAATTTCCCACCCCTGAGTTAAACTGATGTCAAAATAATCAGTATCTGTATCAGCCTCTACTCTGATCTCTACTTTGGACCTTCTCCACCTGCTGATGTAGCCTCCATTTGGCTTCTTTTAATTCTAGCATGATATTTCAACACTCTTAATAAGGACTTGAAAAAGATAATATTGTTTTAACTGTTTTGTTTTCTGGCACAGATCTAGTTCTTAATCGTATATTTTAGATTTAGCTACTTTTCCCTTCAAATCTACTTTGGATTTTTTTGTTTGTTTGTTTGTTTTTTTTTGAAAACCCAAATATGTTCAGTTTCTTACAGTTCAGCCGCTTGTCTGAGTTAAAGGTTATTAATCGTCTAATTTCATATGCACCTCGCAGGAAGCAGGTGACCCTGAGCATGGTTCTACCACCACCGTGCCTGGCAGTCCCTGCTGATGTTTAACAGTAGCTTTAGTTTACATTTGCAAATTTCATTGATCAAATGTGTTTGGATTAGAAGAAAAAAGGTGATCTGAACGCTCTGTTTATATGAGCTCAAAATCAGATGATGCACGTTTGTTTGCCCTAATAAAAGCACTCAGAGACGCGCCGTTGAGTGAAGGTTTGAGCCCATGAGAAAAACAAACAAACAACCATGGCGGTGTGTTGGTTCTGATGGTTCTGGGGGCCCAGGATGAACCTCCATCAGATATTTACACAAAGAATGTTGTTCTGGTTGTTTATGTCCATGTAAACATGTTTCTGTTATTGAGTCTCCTATAGAACATATGGTGTCCTCCTGCTATGAAGGTCTGGGTTCAGATTGTTGAAATTACGGCTGCTACTAATGATTGTTCCTTCAATTATCTTTTTAATTAATTAATTAGTAATCGGATCGCCAGAGTTTCCCAAAAGTGACTTTTTACAGAATTAAACCAGGTGAAACTAAAACTTTTTCTTTTTAAGGAGGTCTGGATAGAGCATATTGACAAACAAAAACGATTTTTTTTTTACTTAAATGCAAAATGTTTACCGTATATATTTTTATACAATTTTTGTATAATTCCTGCTCTAAGTGGGTTGCTATGTCAGCTTAAAGCATATTTTAGAGTCTCTATAGTCCAGCTGACGATTACTTAGTTGACGATTATTGCAATAATCGATTAATCGGGATTAATCCGATGAATTGTTTCAGCCCAGGGGGAACCCAGGAAGAAAATGTTGGATTCTAGGAGGCAAAGACGAAGCAGTTAAAGCCTTTCAATAAAGATGAGATCAGATGCAGGCTGAAACCTTCCTGCACCTTTCTAAGAAACATTCATCCAAAGGTTCTAGGGGTGAATTTAGACATGAGACTGGTGTAGAATTTAAAGATGATTTCAAACAGTAAAAATAGGATTTTATTTTTAATAGGGATTCTGTTTAAAAAAACCTATAAACCTATAAAACTTTGAGATTAATGCAAATGCTGAGTAAATGTAAACTTTTGAGCAAAGCTGTATTTAGAAAGCATTTCTAGTGACTGCCAGCCCCCCCCTCCCTGCCGCTAGATGAGAAAGTCTTGTCTCTGTTGATGAATATTTAAAGGAAAACACTCCTTTTATCTCTCCATTTGGAGTCCCAACGCCCCCGATCCAGAAGGCACTTATTTCCATCCCTGCTGCTGCCATGGTGGCCCGGGGCCAAGTTCACCACTTATTAGTCATGACCCCCTTCTGTCCAGTTTCTGTTGTTCTTGTGTTTCTCATCCTCTCGTCTTTTCTAGGACCTTGGTTTGGAGGGCACCTCCATGAACGACATCTTGTACAAAAATGCTGCCTTCCTCAACCTGGTGGACCCCATCTCCCACGAACTGCTGCTCAGCCTGGCGCGAGAGATGCAGTGTCCTAAGAAGGTCAGTTGGCCCCTGTGGTCTGTGGCGTAGTCCCAGAAATGAATCATTGAATATTTCTCTGAAGACCGACACGATCTGTTCTCCAAACAATCCAATCTGAAGCCGTTTTTTTCTGCAGACAGATGTTGGATTTCTTCTAAGGTTCTGGAAGCAGGAGCAGCTTCCCGCTGAGCGCCTCAGATTTATCTCTTTGATGCATTTTTCACACCCAAAAATAGAGTGTTTGTTTAACCAGTGGCTGAATTCATATAATCCGGTTTTAGCTGCTGGAAAGGATTTGATCTTCTCCTCTAATGTGCTACAAGGTCAGAGCACACAGAGAAGGGGATCTGTGGAGGTTTTCTGTAAAACTCGGATGTTTTTAGATCCATTGAACCAGTTCTGTGTAGAAAGAGTCTGCTGCATCGGCCGGCTGGTATTTTAGGCCAATATTAGTGTTTGTTCTTGTATCGTCCGATACATGAATGCATTCACTGATTTACACACTGCTGCTCCTACCATCTGTTTATTGTAAGGAAAGTTTATTTTTGTTGTAAGTGTGACATTTGTGACATCATTGTGTCATTTTTAACACGTATTAAGGAAGGAAAATGAATATTGTCCAAAAAAAAATCCAGCAGCGGTTAGACTGATGACCGAATGTTTGGTATTGGCCTTTAAAAATGGTGCTGGTTGATCTGTAACTTATGATCAATTTTCAGTTATCCGTTTTACTGAGGATGTCCTTGTATTTAAGTAGGAGAATTATATCAATCTATCAATCAATTGTTTGCAATTGATAATTTTTTTTCAAACTGGTCCTAAAGGAAATTGCTCCATCAAACAGTATCTCTCTCCACTCACATCCAACATCCAATAATAGATTGCTCTCTGATAAATTAGACAAAAATAGAAACACTAACCAGATATTTGAGTAAATAAAGCTGCTGCAAAGCATTATTTTAATATTTGCAGGCCATTTAAAAGAGTCAGGTAGAGATCCTGCATCATAGCCAGCAGAGCTGCTGCACTGATTTTTCACCAAACATCAGATTAAATTCATAGCAGACCTTATTAGAGACATCATGTTTATTGAAAGAAAGGCTTAGATGTGACATCAGAGCTGTGCTGCAAATCGGCCAAAAAGCTAAATCAAGATTTTTTACTGAACTGTTGAGTAGAAAACTGCTTTAGCTGCAACTCGGTTTCTTTCTTGATTGATTGATTGACTTTATTGATCTCACAGTAGATATATGTAACAGCTGAAGTCTCTTATTTAGCTGGATTATTTTACAGGGTTAATGCACGGGGTGTTCACTCCCACGGAGCAAAGATCCTTAACCCCACACTGCTCCCCGGACGCCGCACAATGGCAGCCCACTGCTCCCCTAGCGAATGGGTTAAATGCAGAGAGTGAATTTCTCCAATGTGAGATCAACAAAGTTCTATTATTATTATTATTTATTCATTTATTTTTTTGACTTTGGGAGAAGCTGGAGTACCTGGAGAGAACCCACGCATGCTCAGGGAGAAAATGCAAACTCCATGCAGAAAGACCCCGGGCAGGGAATTGAACCCAGAACCTTCTTGCTGCAAAGCAGCCTTTTTCTCATATGTCTTTAATCTCCCAGGCCTATTTGACATCACTGCCAAACAAGCTAACTGTTTGTAGATTATCTGTTTCAATTCATTTTATTTTATTTATATAGCACAATTCATAACAGGTCATCTCAAGGCTCTTTAGTCATATGGGTTAAACTTTTTTCATCTAAGGAAACCAGCTGCTTGCATCCAGTCGCTGTCTTTCACCCCACCATGGATAATGTGGTGACAGCAGAAATTCACACTTGTGACACAAAGAGCCGTTTATTATTAATTCAAAGTTCCTAGAAACTTGGTTTGACTTAAAAAGTGAAGCATGAATAAAATATTTTACTTTACTCTTTCTGCTGCCAATTTTGTTTAAATCATGATACTTTTGGACAGTTCATTTTCAGAATAATTAACTTAGACTCAACTTTTTTTATCCCTTGGGATTATTCCTTCAGGGAAATGCTGCTTCCACTAGCTTATATAGAGTACAAAGGGCGAGGTTAAAGCAAGATACCTTTAAAGATAACAATACAACAGGCAATATAAAGTACAAAAAAGCACAAAAACAGTTGTAATATCCTGGAATATGTTTCCCTTCGATATAAAAATATCTGCACGGTAGTTGACTTGGATTATTGAACTTAAACTGCAGAGAAAATCTTAAACTGATCTTCTAATTAATGATCCTGATATTAAAGATTTTGTTTTTTCCAAACTTTTCAGCTTCAATAAAAGAGGCATCTGTTTATCCATCATCTTCAGCAGGTGTCCCACATGTTTTTCCCCCACAGCTAATTTCCCCAGCTTTTAGCTGTTTATTCTTCCTCCTCTGCATGCTTCCTTCCCCTTGTGTCCTGCATGTGATTAGATTGTCTTGCTCCAATAAGGCAGCCATATTGGGTTCCTACTCTGCATTCGCTCAAGGCATCAGCTCCAGCTCTGTTTTCCTTTTCATGAGAAAGACGACGCGTGGCGTCAGGGTTATAGAAACCAGGAGAAATTTTCCACCATAGAATAGGCTGCAAAGATTGTTTGTTTGTTTTTAAGCTCTGACTGAAAGTCTCTGCTTCATGTTTATTTTATTCTGTTCTCTCCTGCAGGATGCAGACACCATCAAGTCTTCTGATAAGATCTGCAGACAGCTGATCTACCACCTGACCCCACACTCAAAGTGGCTGAGGCAGAGCATGTCCAGGCGGAAATCCCAGGCCTGGTAAGCCCTCATGTCCAGACATCCAGTCTGTAACTAATCTGCAGCTCTGCACAACAGAGAGCTGCACCAGGCCGGCCTCCCAGGACACTCATAGCTCTTCTCATTGGCCCTTCTGTGGTATCAAGTCAACATTTTTACATTTTCCTCAAGGATTCAAATGCATGTGCAAATAAATGAAGGATTATCTCTCAGAAAATAAGGCTAAAGGCTGATTTATACTTCGAAACTAGGTCATATGCATAGGTGTCACAGTGAACGCAGAGACATCCCTGCCCCTTGCGCAGATAGGAGGCCTCTGATTGGTCAAATCTACCTCTGCTCTACACTATGTGTATTTCCTGTTTGGTAAACTTACTGGCTTCTTTTGTTTGTCTGACCGCCATTGTGGAAAATGACTGGTGAAGATGGACCAGCTAGAAGAGCGAGGTGCGTTAGAACGCTGGGACCCTTTTTCCACCTGGATCCCCGCTCTTTTTCGCCCTCATGTCCCTCTATTGTCTCACAAACTTGCCCCCATTTCCTCACCGCCGCAGCCATATTTAGACCCACAGCTAGTTCCTGATTGTCCCTCTTGCATTGTGGCGTGGAATAACAATAAAACAATAAGCTTCAATATTGGGCATAAATCAAAAATGTCTGCTAGAAGCTGACTGCGACACACTGCTGCAGAAAGATAACCAGCCCTAAAGAATCCCTCCAGCTTATGAACAAAAACATTTCCAGCTGTCTAGATGCTAAAATCGGGCATTCATATCACACAAATGAAGACAGTACGTGTTTTGCGATATCCGACAGGTTCATTCTGAGTCGCTTGAACATCAGCAGGATCATAGAGTTAGCTGTCCGACTCTGAGCGCCGCTTTGTTAGGCTTGATTAAGCTCAATTCAGCCCCAGAAAAAAAGGATCAAAGATTCAACCGACATCCGCAGCGTCTTTGAGACTCGACATACATGGAAGCCATTGTTTAGCTGACAGCTTTTTTTTCCTCACTTAGTCATATTGACAGCTGCATAAATCTGCAGAGAGGCTGACAGGTTCAGAGTCAGCAGCAGAAACATGAGTCATTAACAGCAAGATCCAGAAAACTAGTGGAGGGGAGGATGGGATGGAGGGGAGGACGGGGTGGAGGTCTGCTGCTGCATCAGGGAACAAATGTCTGTCAGGGCTAAAACGATGAGATCAGATCAGTCTGCTGTTCTGTGTTTCCCTAACTCCTCCCTGAGTCAGAGCTTTACATTCATCATTAGAGAAAGATCCACTGCCTCAGAAATCTTCATACTCTTTATTGTTTTCCTGCTCCAGTCATAGAGGCCGTTATATGATAAAAACCTCAAGGTGGGCGTAAGATTTGTGGTATGGATCTAAAAAAAAACGGCATCATGCTTTAGTGTTAAAGCACAATGGAAAACAAGCTGATAAAAGCTTAGTAGTTTTAGAGAAGATGCTCTGGTCCAACGACAACAGAAATGAACCGCTTGTTGTTCTTCTAAAACATTATGAGAGGTAAAAACTAACACAGCAAAGAAATTAAATCTAAGTAAGTATTTTTTCTTAAAATAAGTGCATTTTTTCTTGAATTGAGAAAATAAGTGAGACACCTAAAATAATAAAACTCTATTGCTTTGTTTTATTTCAAGAGTATATTATCTAATTATCTCATTTTAAGAATAAAAACACTTATTTCTACTTATTATTTATTTCTAGATCGTTTTTCCAGTGTGCTAACTTTGTTTTTTTCTGCCATGTTGCAGACGTCTTATGTAATGCCCCCCTACTTTTCGGTCATCATATACTGTACCTACCATCAGGCTGTGCTGCTCCGCCATGCAGCACAGCCTGATGGGTGCTATTTAGGTTCTAACTTAAGGAGTTTATCCTGTGTTTCTGTTTACAAACAGAACAGTAAAATGTAAATTCTTCATCTTTTCTGCCTTTAAACAGTGTTAATAATCCCAGACTGGACTCTGATCCGTTCATGTCTTAGCATGCGTCCTACTCTGGCATTGCTTTTCTTGTAAAGACCAGTGCGGCTGTGTAGAAGAACCGCCCTCTAGTGGATGGCTGCAAAACTGCAAACCTCACAGAAATTCATTAAAGGCATACTATGCAACATTTTTCAGTTAATTAATGTGTTTCATAACGTTTTGGATGATTAAATTAGTCATTTCAGGTCGAACAAATGTGTTCTCGGCCACCCTGGTGGTCTGTAGGGGAAATACCGTACTTGCAATTGCAGGAGCCCTCGGCCCGCACCCACAGGCTCAGAAGTCTCGTGCATCGCGAGAGTCGGTCTTGCTTTACGGCGAGAACTTGGCTAATTACAATATTTGTTATTTAGACACATGCCTAACAAATAATGTATGAAAAAATGCTAAATTTTCAAACTCGAAAAATGGAACAAAATAGTCACTTACCGCAGTAGACACGGTGATTCGTTGCGTTCGCCTGTCTGCTAAGCTCAAAACAACCGCGCCTGGCTTGACGGAGAAACCAGGAGAACAGCTGAGCATATTTACGACAGTGCACTTTTACTTTCGCCCTCTAGGGGGAGCCTCGCTGGAAAATCAACACCGGTTGCATAGTATACCTTTAAAAGAAGACGTTAATAGTTCACCTGGTGGAACTTCTTTTTTTTTTTTTGTCTTTTTTCTTTACCTGTCATAAGTACAGAGCAACGATATAAACTCTCTGCATTTAACCCATCCCCTTGGGGAGCGGTGGGCTGCCATTGTGCGGCTCCCGGGGAGCAATGTGGAGGTTAAGGGTCTTGCTCAGGGACCCAGAGTGGCAGTCTGTGGGAGTGGGGTTCGAACTTAGGAACTCTGGTTTCCAAGCTCCATGCCCGAACCACTAGGCTGCCAACAATATATCACCCAGGTGATATATTGGTGATGGCAGCTTAATGCTGTGGGCGAAGGAGCTAGAAGGTCAGTCAGAATTGATGTGAAAGTAGACTGAGGTATGAGAGAAAACCGTTTACAGCAAAGGTTTTGGGACTGGTTTGGATTTTGACAATGATCCTAAACAAAGAGATCAAACTAAAATAAGAAGGTTTGGATCAGAGGTGCAACTAACAAATCTTTTGCCTCCTAAATTTTATCGTTAGATATTTTCTTTCAATTAGCGATGGGATCACAAACGGTGGTTTTATACATGGTTCTTTACAGAATTTAAACCTGTTGAAGTTAAAGCCTGAGGAGGCACATTATAGAGCGTATTTATAGTCAAAGAAGATTTTTTATTCTGACCATATTTCAATAGCCAATGAATTAATAAATTGTTTCCAAATCTGAAGTTCCTGCAGTAGAACAGCAGCTATAATAGCAGCAAAGCTGATCTACAAACTCTTTACTCAGGGGAGCTGAATAGCTTTTTGATTTATTAGAAATACAATAATAGAGAACTCTACATCCTCTCTCTTAAGGTCTTGTTAAAATCCATTATTGCCTGCGGTTGTAATACGACGGTATTAATGCGTTTGTGAGGCACAGCAAGGCTTTTAAAGGGCTGCCATCTCTATTCCCAGCAGAAATGATTCAGAAAAACTTGGCCTCAGTTTTAGGTCGAGGCTCTAATCGAGCTAATTCTCACGCTATTTGATAAATCATAAAAAAAATAAAAAATCTGTAATCCAAACTCAAACTAATTACACAGATTAACGGGATTACTGAGTCTCTGATGTTGATTCTGTCTATTTGGAGCGACGGGTGAGCAGAGTTAATGCTGGTTAATGATGAGATGATCCATCCGGCGGCGCCGCAGAGGGCCGCGCTGTTTGCCGGTCTTCGCCGTGCAGAGAGCATTCACAGGGTGGAGCTGCAGTTATTCACATTTTTTTTAATATATTTTACCCCCTAATAAGCCTTTAGTTTAGTCATAAAACCCTCAAACACTGAATAAACATAATCTCCACAAAATAATTGGACTGTTGGTTCGACCACATTCAACCCCTGCTGACAGTTTACTGATAGCTTTAGATTCCATTTAAGAAAATTAGTCCTGACAGAGACATTTCTGCAGGAAGCACATTTTTCAAACAGCCTCCCCTACTGGGTGCTGCTATGCACAAAGAGAGCAGCACTAAAAAGTGACGATAAAACAAGAAGGAACAGGTAGTAGAGCAGGTAACACAGTCCTGGACTCAGGCAGAAAGTGTCTGAGGCATGACTACACTGAAACTAAATATAATAAACCTTCACTGTAATCTTTAATCAGATTTTCATGTGAAAAATAGAACAGAATAGAAAATCAATTTATTATACTACAGTGGGGAAATTCTGGAGCTCTCCAGACTCCAGAGATGAGCTGTTCTGCATGTTTTAGATCTTCCTTCCTGGTAAAACGACGGGGGCTGAAGCTAGCCTGAGCTAAAAGCGTGTTAATTAGAGACTAATTATTAGAACCAGCTGTATGAGAAGCAGAGACACACCCAAAACATGCAGCACAAAGAGATGGGATTACCTTCTGTTACCGGTATTTCTAAAAAAAAATACAGCTTATAGAATAGAAAATCCTTTTGTTGTCCCACAGTGGGGAAATTCTGGTGTTTACAGCTAAAAAAAGATTATAGTAAAAATTGTCACATAAATGTGGACCTTAAAACATATTTATCAGGATGACATACTAGCGAATATATAGAAAATACTGTACTGTAATCAAACAATATTAATTTGTACCTATTCATTTTTTTAAAGACATGATATACTAAACTATGTGCAGAAATGTCTATGGATCCAACCACCCAGGTGTGTTGCATCACTGAGTACATGTTTCAATGCTTTGCTCTAAGTTGTTGTGTAAATTTAAGATATTTTTCTATCTGCCTTCTCTGATTTGTTTTAAACTTTTAACATCAGATTCAAAACTTACAGAATTAATTGGCAAAACAGTTAATAAAACATGGAAAACATTTAAAGTCTGATATAGTACAGTCTAATGCTACGTTCAGACCAAAAGCATTGTAGGCAGCAGGAGCAGCTGGTTTACATGCAAAGTCAATGGTTGACGCGCATCAAGGCAAAAGGTCCTGCAGCGCGTTTTGAGCAGCAGGAGCAGCGCGTCATGAGCTCCTGAGCATCTGATGTGAGAAACGCGCTTCAGAAGCAGCAGCTGCTGGAGTTGGAAAAATTATGATCACTCCTCTGAAACAGTTTATTAAATGGTTAAATTAACTTAAAATGTCGGAAAACTGCCAGCAAAATATGTTCGATTTTATTATTTTGGTGCCTGCGAACAGTAGCAGAAAACCTCAAAGAGGCGACCGGGCCAGAGGCTGCTGTTGAACGGGATTCCCAATGACTGAGCACAGAGTGTGCGTGGGTCTGAGCGGCTCCGACAGTGAAATATTATTTTAAGGCAGGAGGGTAATCTGGATGAACTGACTGCACAGGTCAATTTTTCCAGAGGACTTTCTCACTTAAAAACATATAAAAACTACTTTATACCCACTGATCACAGCAAATATAGGTGCCATTGTTACAGGCAAAGAAAGGATAGAGTAGCTCCGCACAATGTGCATCAGACCCAATTTTGCCACTGTGCAGCGAGATCAGTAAAGATGCTTCAGCGACGCATCAGAACTAAACTGGTACAAGCATCAAAAATGAAGCAGCTCGCGAGTTTTTGCTGCTCCTGCTGCGTGCGATCTGAATGTAGCATTAGACCTTCTGACGTGACTATAGGAATGTTTGCCATACTCTACACATAGGGACGGTGTAGAGTTTGGCTGTCCAAAGTTCTGCCCGGGGGCCATATGGAGCCCTTAGAATGACATTGTGTGGCAGGATGATTTAAATTAGACATTTAGTGCAGAAAAGATATTTTTATTAACACATTTTTATCAAATGTTAGCTAAAACACAAAATTCTCAGATGGCCAATATTAGAGCATAAACCGTCTGTCTCTATAAAATCAGAGAGAGATAGATTTGTAGAAATAAGATGCAAATTATTAGACCACCCTTGTTTTCTTTCCAAAAGGCACATTAAAGAAGATTTTATACAGACTTTGAAACGAACATGTTCATGGACAAAACTGTTTTTTTTTTATCTTGTTTGAATGTAAATGTTTGTATATTTGTTCTTATATTTTAGCATTAACACTTATTTCAGTGGGTTAGTCTTTTAGCTCATGTCGTGTGTTAAAGTCTTTACATTACTGTTAATGATTATTTTATTGCCTAATTAGTTTATTATTATTGTAATAATACAACAATCACAATGAATCAGATATTTCCTTTTTCCCTCTTTATATCAACAAGCAGGTAGAAGTTTCACTCATGGGTTTCTTTGTTTGATACGGAGGAGGATTAGGGCCACTGAAAAAAAAAAAAGTTAACTGATTTTTAAATTTTAATTCAGTTTAGTATGGGAAAAAAGTCAGAATTCTGACTTTAATCGCAGAATTCTGACTTTAATCTGAATTTAATTGGAAAGTCAGAATTCTGAGATTAAAGTCAGAATTCTGAGAAAAAGTCAGAATTCTGACTTTAATCGCAGAATTCTGACTTGAATCGCAGAATTCTTACTTTTTTCTCAGAATTCTGACTTTCCGATTAAATTCAGATTAAAGTGAGAATTCTGACTTTTTTCCCATACTAAACTGAAAAAATTTTAAAAAAATCAGATAACTTTTTTTTTTTCAGTGGCCCTAATCCTCCTCCGTAGTTTGATGATCTTCAAAATTTGATCAGTATTTCAGGACTGTTTAGTGCATCAGTTCTCACTTCTACTCCCATCATTAATTTGACGTTAGCTGCAACATTGCGCCCCCTAAAGGCCTGGAGTCAGAAAGTCTTATCCCTGTTAAATGTAATTTGACAAAATTAAGTACTTCTGTGATTTGAACATTGTGTTTTGTAAAACTGTGTTTATATTGAAAATTAATTTAATTGCCCAACTCTTATAAAACTGGATATTAATGAACTTGTTTTAATATAAAGTTAAACTTGTTTATCTCCAAGGAACAATTTTAACATCAGTATTTCAGTATTTCAGTAGTTTTGCATGCAGCATTCAGACATATGAAGACTGATGATCCTCCAGGGGCTCTCGCTGCGTTCACGTACACTAAACTGGTTAGAATGTAAATTAGATTTTAACATTCATCTGTTATCAGACTGTGGTTTTAGCTTCAGCTCAGGGATGGTTGATAACCAGCATCTCCACAGACATCGATCTTATGCTCCTTCAGCATAGACAATAAAACCCAGCGACATTACTGCCTCCCTTTGGGCTAAAGAGACAACATAACATGATGAAATGCCTGCAACACATGACAGAGACCGGTAACCTTCCTATGGCGTCGCCCCTGTTCTCTGGTGCGAGGATGGATGATTCTGGACAGATCACCTCAGGCAGCCTCATCTTCCTCACAAAAACACTGACCTGTCTGAGAGCTGTGATCTGAGCTATTAGCACCTGAGGAGTAACGCTTTTACATGGCTGTCACATGAAAACCTACAAGGACCACACTGACACCGTGTAAAGGATAAAACCTGGAAAACACTGGCTCTACTGGCAGGTTTTCTTTCTTTTTCCCTTTTTTTTTCCTGTTTATGCGGCAGAGAAAATGCTGCTGAGGGAGTGGCTATTTTCAACGTGACCAGAAAAACACTTCAAAGCATCAGAGGAGACAGGTACTGCTGAGGACGACACTGTAAGTCACCAGGCAGCCAGGGATGCTTTAATTTACACTGACACATGCAGCAGAACCGCAGTTCAAATTCAACACTCTGGATCCTCCCTGGTGGGCCCAACCGGGTGGAGACCTGAATAATGAATATGACTTTACCTGCAATGTACATCAATAATATTCTATTGTAAATCCATCCAAAATGTTGTTGGGTATTTTTATTTTATATTTTGAGCAACAATAATGAAAACTTTCTTTAAAACCCTTTAATACATTTTAGCTAGGTTTAATGATTGTGCACTGGACTGTTTTTAAGGAAAAAGTTGCTTGACGTTTGTGTTCCTGCTTTGAAATGAAACTAAACAGCAAAAGAAAACATGAATTATTAGAGAAAAATATTCTCCTATTTAAAAAAAGATCTAAAAATGACAGAAGAACTCAACAGATTAGTATCACTATTGTTCTTTGGGCCAAACTAAGGCTACAGCAGCCTGAAGTGACCTAAATCCGATTTTTTTTTGCCCATATGCGACCCGTATCTGATCTTTTCATGACAGTCTGAACAACACAGATCTGATTTTCTCCGATGCAACCAATGCGACCCAGCCCATTTGGCTATGTGGTCCTGAATCAGATACGAATCTGATCGTTTCAAATGCAACCTGTGTCTGAACCGGCAGGTCAGTAATAGCCGACATAGGTCACTATTCTGCATCTTGCTACGCAGAAGCGGTAAGAAAAACAACATTAATGGCAAACTATAATGCGGAAATCAGTATTTATGTTAAACCATCTTGAAAAGATTTCGTTTTTAAGGTTGGGAAAGAAGCACAAGATGCACTCCAGCACTACCATCCACAAAGCATGCTCGCTTGTGACGTCATTGCATACTCTACTGCACATGCACAGTTCACACAGCAGATCACATACAAGTCGCATATATTTGGAAATATGAATGGCAATGCAAAAAAATTGGATTTCACTAAAAAATCGTAATTGAGCATTAAGGCCAGCAGTGTTAACGTAGCATAAATTGTTCACAGGGACCAATGGCGTAACGACACAGCAATAGGCCCGTAAGCAACATTATCTTGGTGGGCCCCATATGAAGTACAACACCCCATCCCCCTCTCTCCATTCATCTCCTGGTCGCAATCTTCACTCACTGTAAAAGCAACGGAATTCAACAGAATTCTGCAACTAGTGTTGCACCGATGCCATTCGGTGCAACTCTAGTAACCTCCATGTGGCGTTTGAGCCTTTTTGATTCTCTAAGTTAGCACCAACTCTCAAATGTTTCACCAATAGTTTTTTCTACCATTTTGCATCTTGTTTTTTTAGTCTGCGTCTAAGAAACTCTAATAGCCTAATATCTCTATCGTGGAGCTGCTAGGCAACACCCGAGCTTCATGTCACATGACTACCTACTAATTTAACGTGTCAATGTTGGCATCATAACCAGAAGAAAATGTTTATTTAGTCTAAACTTCATTTTTATGAAAAAGTTGCATTTATGAGCTTTGTGATGTCAACTTTATTAAGTCAAAACCAAAACAAATTTAGTTTCTGTTCCTAATAAGTTGAAAGATTTTAAGGATTATTTTCTTTACTTCTCTACAGTCTGAAGACGACTCTACAGAAGAAGCTGTCTAGTGAGAGCGTGGACCTTTCTGGGATCCCCCTGTCCAGCCGCGATGTCCGTCAAGTGGCCTTCTACCTCCAGAACAACGGAGACAGCCTGGTGGCCGTGGACATCAGCTTCACCGAGCTGACCGATGACAACCTGCGGCTGCTGCTGCCTCTCCTCGCCTCGCTGCCCAAACTCAGCACCCTGGCTCTCAACGGCAACCGCCTCACCTTGGCCATCATCAAAGACCTCTCTGAAATGCTCAAGGACCCTAAGATGTTCTCCAGCCTGGCGTGGATCGACCTGGGGAACAACGTGGACATTTTCACCATGCCTCAGCCGCTGCTGGTGGCGCTGCGCCGCCGCTGCAGCCTGAAAAGCAGCCTGCCGACCATCTACGAGTACACAGAGGGCCAGCCTTACTCCTACCACCTGGAGACCTCCATCGAGGAGCCCAGCCATTACGAGGAGGAGGAGGAGGAGATCGATGAGGACGAGGAAGATATGGGGGACAGGTTTGAGCTGGAGCCGTGGGGTTTGGGGGACAAACAGCTCTCTAAACCGTACCCCCTCCACTGCTGCGAGAGGTGATGGAGCGTTTCCTGTCCTACCAGATTCCAGCTGTGGTTGAAGCGACGTCCCGCAGCTCTCTGTTACCTCCTTCACCCTCTTGCCCTCACACCACGAGACCAGTCACCCTTTAAAGGCAACGAGGGGGAGCAGCGCCCACATTGTGAACTAATCGCCCAAACACAGCTGCTAAGCTAACCTTTACCATCTCTGAGTTGGACCCACACCGGACGGCGGCCTGACGGCAGACTTACTGTGTTGCTGGATGGTGCTCTGGGGGAAAAGATGCGGTTTCATTGGAGGTTGTCTGGAAGAGTCAAAGAACCAGTTTTCTCTTTTTCTCTCTCTGTCTCTTTCTGTCCCTTTATCCGCGTCTAGCGCTTCATGTCTCGATCCACAGGAGACGTCAGTCAGTTGGTCGGACGAAGGAGCGGCATCCCTGGGGGATTCTGGGGCCACCTGGAGTGAATTTTGGAAACCTGTGGGTCCTCGTGGCGTCTCTGCCAGGACTGAGACTCTGCCTGTCAGGCAGGGCCTAACTCCACATTCTGTGTTCTCTGTTAATCTCCCAACAAAAGTTCAACAGACTCTACAGCCAGCGACCGTCACGTGGCGCTGGCAAAACTGCTTGGTCGACTTTTTGCGTCCCCCCTCCCCTCTTTCCTAGTGTCCACTGGTGAATGTCCATTTGCAGATGGAAATGAGGACACAAACAACACAGATGTTTTGTTTCCTGACGTTTTTTTGTTGTTGTTGTCCCCTTAGAGGACAAAGCGTCTCAGAAGACAACAGGTAGGAGAGAGGGGTGTTTTTCTAACCACATAAAAGCTGACATCACTGCTCTTTAGGGTCATAGCCACAGTATTTCAACACGGGTCAGAGAAAGGGGCCAAAATGACCTCCTACTGCCGTCTGCCTCCACAGGTTTTGACCTCTTAGTGTTGCCGTAGATCTGTGTTATTAGGCACTTTCTTGACTGTTATCTACTCTAGTCTCTCCGCAGTAGCATAAAACCATCTCAAAGGCCGACCAGAACACTGCGAAGCACTTTAAGGCCCTGATGTTTAGATGTTACTCTTTCTCCAAAGGCTCCATATAGTCTGTGCACATTGGTTCCTCCCTGCAGGAGCTTCATTCAGATGATTGTTAGAGGGATCAATATGAAAATAAGCTCACCTGAAGTATAACAAATGTTCTCTAAGTGTTCTTTGTGTATTTGTGTCGGTAAACGGTCTAAATGTTGTTTTGTCTCTTGTCTGTTTCTGTATTTAATTGTATTTAATGAGGAAAAACTATAAAAACTGAGCCTGATCAGGTCCTGATGATCGGATCCAACAGATGACGGAATGTTTTATGGTTTTACGCAATAATCCAGCAGGTCGCTCTGTAAATGTCATCCAAAGCAGAGGATATTTAAGTTGAATGTTTGAAATTGTCGTTTTTTGCCTTTTATCATGTTTTTACAACCCAGGGCAGGACTGGCCATTACCCAACACCCGGGGGGCCAACGCCCATTTGTGGGTGGGCCCAGGGCCTTCATAATGTAATCTAAAATGTATTTAAAGTTAACTATTATATAAAATAATTTATCAATTAACCAAATTATAATCTAATCAAAATGTTTTGAAATGAATTATATACCTTAGAAATATTCAGAAATATTCTGCATGAATAAGTCATTTTTTACATTTTCCATTTTGGTCTTTTACAATGCCGAAATTTAAACAAAAATTTAGTATTTGTTTGATTGAATATTTCCTTTTAAATAATTCAGAGGAAATGATCAGTGACTCTTTTTACCTAGTTTTTAATGTTTATTTCTTTCACTATATATTCATTGATGAAATCTCTCAACGTTTGTAATCTCACCTGTCTTGCTGGGCCTCTTCCCTATAATATAAGTAATCATGGTGGGCCGACCCAGTCTGGTCCAGTCCAGTCCAGTCCTGTTACAACCACAAACTTTATTGGATTCTGATTGATTTTATCTGTCAGATAAAAAGAAAAAAACAGGATTTAAAAATATTTAAGCAATTAAAATCCAATGTAACAGAGTTAATGCATATTTTTCTTGCATGGGTGGTTCTAAACAGGGGCTATTGGGGCCGCTGCCCCTATAAAACCAATCCAGGGCCCTGTACTGAAGGCATAACATTGGATTTTTTGATTTTTATTTTAGTTTTTCTCTAATTCAACTATTTTTAGTTTGTTATTAGAAGTGATTTGCTGGTTTTTAGTAGTTACTATTATTTTATTAAAGCTTAGTTTTAGTTTAGTTTTAATTAGTTCTTGTACTAGTTTTAGTTTTGTCTTTGTTTGGTTAATTCTTAGGCACAGGATTCAAAAAGTTTAGAGCATTTTAATCATAAAATTGGGCATTTAAGCTATAAATACTCAACACAAGATGCCTATTTTAAAGAACTGGTTCCCTTACAGTGGCCTTTGAAGAGGTCCTGTGGAAAAAAACACAAATGCAATACTGGCAATGTTGATTGCATCAAGATCAGTTTTACCTCTCCTTGTTAAAGCTGATCTAGAAACATCAATGTCTCTAGAAGCACTCAAACTCAGTCCGATTGAAAGGAGAATGTCAACAAATATCAGCTTCCCCAGCAAATTTAAGCAATTTTACTGTATGAATTAATCTGAACCATTTGATTGCAGCTGCTTGAAGATTAACATCTGCCCCACATCATGATACTGCCACCACCATATATCACAGTTGGAAGGGTTTGTTTTAGATGATTCCCATCCTACGCAGTGTTACATGGGTTGGTTGCCCAACCAGAACTCCTTTGTCATGTTTGCTTTGAGGCTTAAGAGGATAATTTAAAAACACGTCACACTTTCTAAGATCGATGTATAATTTTGATTTATTTATAGTCGTAGGTGTTCATACAAACACAGGCTGTAAAATGCAAACACAAAGCGCACATAAGGAGTAGAAGAAATGACATTTTAAATTAAATAAAAACAAGAATCGATTTAGTTTGTCACTGCATTCTTGTTTTTTTTTCTTTTTCAAATTAAGTGCTTTATTTTCCTCTATCAGCTAAAGTCACAGTAATATGCATTAAAGTTTGTGGTTCTAATGCAAAAAGGTTGGAGGTTTATGAATATTTTGTGAAGGCGCTGCGGCTTGTTTTCGTGTGTCAGTGTGGTCTGTGTTTGTACCTTATGTCTCCTTCCACCCAATGACTGCCAATAAAAGAAGCTGACCAAACTGAGCTCTCTGGAGGTGTCTTTTGTTTTTGTTTTTTTCCTGGTATTTTAAACAGATTTTATGTAGCTGTTTTACTGGCTGCGTCACAGTATGAACATGCAGCAGGATACAGGAACAAGCAGGTGATTGATTTATGCAGATCAACCAGGACATTTGGTAATAGGAGGCAGGTTTGGAACATGCTGTTCTGGAGCCGTATCAGGAAAGCTGTGTGTGTTTGTTAGTCAGAGGAGCGAGTCTGTCTGCTGTCGGGGAAACGCCTGAGCTGCGGCCGCTTGCTGGGGAAGGGCACGGTGATCGCTGCATGAGGCCCTGTCCATGATCCCCCACCATGACCTTTTGTTCGTGCTGCCAGACATGGTAATGTGGCATTTGCCTCAGGTGGCTCCTCTAAGGTCAGGGCACAGTGTGATTGTCCCCCCCCCCAACCCCACCCACAGAAGTCCAAATATAGTTAAACAAGGCAAGGCAGCCCACCCTAAGAAATCACAAAGTTTGTATTATTTGACCTTTCCGTTCCAGAATCTGTATATTTTGGTTTTACCTGTAAAAAGTATTCATTTCCTAAATGCTTTTAGTGAAGCTGACGTTGGTGCAGACCTTTGAGACACACCGATTCACTGAGGGGAACCTGTCTGTCATCAATTAACCAGTCTTTCTCATGGTATTAAAGATACAATATCACATCTTAATTCTATAAGCAAATTCATACATGTTCAAGTATTCGATAAGTGGTTCCTCAAGTATCCATGCACTGTTTTGTATTTGATATGTACCTTTTGAACAAACACTAAAACAGTCATGCCTAAGGTCAGTGTAGGAAGCCCATTTAAACCAACATGCATGTTTTCAGACTGTTGGAGGAAACTCCCTTTTAACAGGAAGAAACCTCCAGCAGAACCAGGCTCAGTGTGAGCGGCCATCTGCTGAGGCCAACTGGGATGTTAAAGAAGAGACGATATAAAAATGCTTTGAATATCAGAAAATGTAGCAATAATCTAGCTATGTCTAGAAAAAAAACTTATAAGCAGGGTCTGAGCCAGTTTTTACATCAGATGAAAGAGAGCACATCCACTTAGTTTCAGTAAAAGCGGAGCTTTCTATGTCTAAGACAGAAATAGGGCTAAGCACTGAACAAAGACCCAACCCTATAATTTCCAACCATAGGTGTTGATTGCAGCAGCACAACTGGTATTTCTCTCCCGGATGACATTGCAGCCAAACAGACCAGATAAAGGTACTATGATGAGAAAAAGCAGAGACATTAGAGAGGGAACTAACAAATATTGGAGAATAGAAATGAAATGAAGCAAAATGAAGTAAAGTGGTCCCTATGTCCTCCAGACGCTTAAGCCTATAGCAGCATGAATATATAGAAGGCTCTGAATAACCTGAGCCACTCTACTGTACATTTTGTCAAAAAGGCAAGTTTTAAGCCTAGAATTAAAAGTCCACAGGTTGTTTGCCTTACAGACTAGAACTGGTGCTTGGTTCCACATGAGAAAAGCTTAATATACTGTTAGGGTTGTTAAGTTTCCCCAACTTTAACCTATAAAGAAAGAAACAAAGACAGTGTAAGATTTTTCCTGACTGTGCTTTGCAAAGGGAAAATACACAGAGCTTTGGGATCACTGTGCATCTTCGTCTTGCTCCACGCTTGCAGGCTTATTTATTGAACAGTCAACACATTACAACAGCAGGTCTTAGTTTCGATTACGCAATCTCTTAGACATAGCATGAACTTTTAAGATAGGGAACATGTCTGGTTTCAGGATACACTTTTAAAAAAAGGTGTCGGGGGTCATGAACTTTTAACTTCTGTGCTTCTCAAATGAAAAACAGAAAAGCATTCTCACAAACATTTGACCGTCTTATGACCTGCATACACTATTTCCACTGATTAGAGTAACATAAAAAAATGATTAAAAGCAATATAATAGATATAAATGAATAAAATGATAAAAACAACAGAAATCATAATAACTCCAACATATACATTTCCTGTTCCCTGATAATAAAAAAAAAGAATTTTTAGAATTAACATTTTTTGCAAAGATATCATTAAGAACTAAAGACTTAAATTATATAGGCTGTTAAAAGAAATATAATTTTTAGTACTCACTGACGTTGCCCATTGATTGTGTCTAAGCTTTGTAACAAGGCTTTTTTCACCAATTAATTTATTTACAAACTTCACTTTTAAATTATCTGATGAAAGACACCCCACATTTATCTTAGGTGTGTTTTCAGCCAAATACAGGATTTGTTGCCTATTTTCTTAGAAAGAAAATATGTTGATTTCCTATAAATAGCTTTTAGCCTTGGCACAGTCTTTTTAGCCAATTTTGATGTTTGTTACATAGGCTATTTTTTCTTTTAAATACTGTTTATAGTTGAGGCTATGTGCAACACTGTATTTCAGCTGTTTTAAGGTGCTTAGGATATAATGTTGGCAAGGTAGGATTTTTAAGCCCGCAAAAAAAATAAATGTTTCCCAGAGTCCGTCGTAGGAACCATGGTAGGTTCATTAGAAAAGGTGGTGAGAGAAGGAGGAGATGGGGTGGGATGAAGGTTCAGTTGGTGTGCAGGAGGAAAGCTGGACAAGGAGAGCTAGGAAGGGGATCTTGAATGATCATTAGCTTTGGTCCCGACGTCAGGTGGCCTGAGCTTGTATGTGGAATATCAGCAGGTGGTCCAGGTGAGGCTGATAACTATATAAGAATAAGCAGTATTACAAACCCCTACAGCTTAGTTCAGTTGCCAAGTTTCTGCATGTGGTTGTTAGACTTTATGCTTTCTATGCAGATTTCAGAACTGTGCGGCTTAGATAACACAAAATTTACTTATTTTATTAAGTTCTGTAAGTATATTTTAACAGTTTTTGTGAGTTTTTTTGTTGGTGTTTTTGTTGTTTTTTGCATTGGTTGCTTTCTATTGTTGTTGATAGAACAAATGAATTTACTCTTATGAGTAATCAAAACAACTCAATCAAGCAAGCAATCAATCAATCAATGTTTTATTGCAGCAAATGAAGGAATAACCAATAAACAAGAGTAGAGCTAAATAGAAGAATTGCAGCCAACAGCAAACCTGTATTTCCAGAAACCTTCTTATTCACACATCTTAAAGGAAAAGTCCGGTCATATTCAGAATAAAAACTTCTGAAAGTACTTTAAGTATGAAACTATTACATGTGTTTAATGCAGAGTCATTTTCAGTTGAATGTGCTTTACTGGAGGCATCCATGTTTGTCAAAGAACACTACTGCCACCTACTGGTTTGTGACGTCACGGTGTGGTATCGGCTGTTGATCAAGTCCCAGTTTCTTCAGAAAGGTGAAATAACTAATCTTTTTCACTTTTACCTGATGTATTCCAGCATCCAGCTGCCATGCACGTGGACATTGTCAGTTTCACTATAGCTCTGGTGAATTTCAATGGTGAAGTCCT